AGCTCCTCCGGCAGACAAGGCTGCGTTGGCTGGGTCATGTAGCCTGCATGCCCAGCCACCGCATGCCGAAACAGCTTTTGTTTAAACGGATCGAGGGGGCTAATCGGGCGTGGCACGTGCTAGAGAAGAGATGGAGTGATGTGGTACAGGAGGACGTGGAGCTGAGTGGACTTGCCGATGACTGGTACCAGCGGTGTCAAGATCGGACTCTGTGGAGGAGGCTCGTGAAGGACGCTGCTACTGGGCAGTTGGAGGCAGTCGCCCTCCAACAACAACGGAGGGCGGAGGAGCGACGCTCACAACAACGAGCGGAGCGCCGGGTGGCTAAAGCACAGCAGATTGGCACAGTAGGGGACACAGGTGGTGCATCAGCCAGTCATCTCAGTCATCTCAGTCAGCCGACCCGTGGCACCTGGATCTGCCCCGTGACCTCCTGCCCGCGGGCGTTCGACACTTCACGTGGCCTCAAGGTGCACATGGTCTGGCACAAGCGTCGTGGTGACGTCACCGCCACTTAGTGGCGAATGGCGGTTGTTTTGTTGTGTGTGTGTGCACGTGCGTGTGTGTGTGCGTGTGGAAAAAATGTACGATACGATTATGGTGGATATTATTACAGAATATCGTAGTATCGCCATATCGAGATAACTTTCGGAGTTAATAACTTTAAAAATATTGTACAATTCTGGAAGAGCGTTCCGAACTTTGTAAGCGTTTGCATTGTGTGAACGTCATCATTTGGAACGAACCAACTTACCGCTTTAAATTGGGGGGGTCACAGACGCGATATATTTTTAATATATAAATATCTACATCTCCAACAGCAATACAATGACAAAGCGACCGTGAATATGTAATATATATTTCATAGTAGATCATTCAGCATATATTGTTCGAGTAAATATGATTCCAATTATGTGATGGAAGTGAAAGTATAAGATTGATAGTTTGAGCATCAACCCTTCGCTGGGAGTGGTAGCTCCCATGTGCAAATGGCTGACGTCTCAAGCCTGGCTCCCAGGACGCTTCGAAACTGTTCAGAACATAACGACTCCCCCCCCCCCCCCCCCTAAACTTGCACGAACAATTTCTCTCGCCCCATAAAACTCTGAGCAGGATTGAACTCACGCGAACCGGTAAGTGGGTGTTTTGGTTTAAAATTTTGACCAAAAAAAAATCCGGTGTTGTGTGACCCCGTGCGGTGGTGACACCGCAGGCTGTGGTTGCTCCCCGCCGGGGAAGGCGTCTCCTCGGTAGGCAATCCAGGCCATTCAGGCCCTCCCTGGCATCTCGGGCCTAGTCTGTCACAAAGAAAATAAAGAATTAGACATGCTTTGTGGAACTGTTTTCAAAGTAAGATACACAGGCAGCAGTCGTAAGAAAAAAGGCCGAAAGACAATCGTCAGTAACAGAGGTGTTATGAAAAAGGGCCATTGCCCGATTATGCACTACAGTATTTTTAAGTACAGTGTTATTGGTAAATATGTAGGGGTTTTTCTCTCGTGATATACCCGTCTTTGTGTTTGTCCTCATGCTTTGGGTTTCGGGCTGTTCCACGCGAGTTTGAAGCCTTTGGTTAAACGAGGTAACACAACGACGGGTTAAGTTATCTTTTGATGCATCACAGCTGTCAACCCGTACGGTTTACCCCGTATTCTTGTACAGAGACATTGAGTTTTCACGGCCATTCGGGGTACAGCCGTTTCAATACGGGCAAAAAAACATTCTTTAGTAACATAATTTTGTCTATTTGTTTGTGTTTCTACATTGTGATGGGACTCCGTAGGATGAACGTTGATACTGGTAGGAACGAAGTTGTAAACTGAGTGTACCAGCCTGCAATAGATTAATGTGTCCGTCCGTCCATCCCCCTTCAATAGACAGCGCAGAGACTTGTCCTACCAGCCCACCCTGCAGGGACCTGTTATTTATAAAGACACGTGGTGGCCAATATGGTCTGAATTGATCTGTAATAAGGTAGGGCACTGATATGGGGTTGACAGCTACGTGGTGGTGAGTGTACTCGTAGTGATTGTCTATTTGTGTGTTTTTCCCTTGTGATGGGACGTTGTTGTTGTAGGCAGCTGCGGGACTGTGCAACGTTGGTGAGTGGCAGACATCCATTGTAGAGTACAATGTTACTATGCAACCACGTTTGCGCTACCCTCCTCCACCAAGCCACACGGACTAGCCTGGTGAAGTATGGTCAAATCGCGACCCGGGGCGGCGTGGGGAGTCCCTCGTCCAGCAATAGATTAACAAAATGGCTCCAACTGTATATATTTAAAATAAGTAACATTTAAAAATACGTTTTTTTTTTTTAACACGCTTCGTTAAAATGTACCGTACGAGTAATGGCAGAACTCCACGACTCCAGGAAGTGGCCCCGAAGCTTGCCACAACGTAAGGGGCCCGTGGTGATTTACAGCCAACGTCAGTTGAGCAGTGGACAATTAGACCCTAGCCTAAACGTAAGATATATAAAAGATTGCTTCAAAATATCTATTTTTAATGATAGAATATCGTATTGCAGTCGATACGACATTGGGAAGTGGGTTAAAATTGAGTTACAAGATTTGAGGATACAACATAGTTGAGGATACGACAGACAAGAGTGAGTTAAATAAAAGCGTGTAATAATAAAATACATCTCGTGCTGTAGTTAGAATTTGGTGATGCTAAAATGGCGCAGCCATGTTTAAGGTGTGTGACAGTTTCACTAATGCCACACGGACACATTCTGTGTCGCTGTAGTAGACACGTGTGTTGGAATATTACAGTCCACTTCCACACAGCATTGGAGTAGTTTCTCTTTCCACGTGACAAGTGCCGTCTCAAAGACGTTGGGGATTATGGCCTTCCTCTTTAGCGCTGTCCATGATATTCAACTCAAGAATGTTGCATTGGACACTCCCAGTTGTATACATTTGTTAAAATTGCTTACGTGGCTTAATTAATGACACAAATGCACACCACGGTTTCTCATTGAAAAATTGGTAAATTTCTCAATATCACTGTCCTGGGCACAAAAGCAAAGTTTGTGGGGAATAATAGCCATTTTCTATACTTTTGAGGCAAAGGCAATTATAAAATAACACTTTACTACCCGGGAACAGAAATCGTGTTACATAGTGATATAATCACGCGCAAGTGACGTCCTCCACATCGACCAGCTCCCCTCGTTAATAATCATGAGCAGGTGACGTCACTCCACATGGAGCACCCTCCCCCCTCATTAATAAGCATGAGCAGGTGACGTCACTCCACATGGAGCACCCTCCCCCCTCATTAATAATCATGAGCAGGTGACGTCACTCCACATGGAACAGCCCCACTCATTAATAATAATTATAAGGTGACGTCCTCCAAATGGACACCCCCCCCCCCATTCATAATAATTAGTGGCTGACGTCACTCCACATGGGGGGGGGGGGCGAGGTGCCTCAGCGTCAATTTACAACCCTCACGACAAAGGCGGAACCCTCACGTCACGCGATCTCCGTAACGCTGTTGTTGAGACATCAAAGTAAGAAGGACGTCACGATGAACAAGGAATTATAACCTTTACACGAAATAGGTCTGTGTCACCGCGCCCTTACAAATTGCACACGCATTGATGTAACGAGTGAGACGTCGCGGTCAGCTTTTCGCTTGCAAGTTTCACATTTACCGCAATGCACCCGTCACTGGACGGGCGAAAGGCGAGTGATTATTTACAGCCCTTCTTTCACTCCACTGTTGGATGAAGGTGAACCCAGGCCACGTATGCCGTTGGGGATATTTGACCGCGTTTCACCACTTTGATCGATGACGTGGAAATGGGGATCCTCGACGTGGGAGCATAGAAGTAGAGTACGACAATGCAGTTTGCTGAACTGCCTTGGGCTTGGTGCTTGCTGATCCAAGCACTGTGAGTGGCGCAACTCTGCAAAGTTGAAACTGGAGCACCTAGAGAACCCACGCGTGTGAAGGGGGCAACGCTCTATCCCATGCAGATGGAATAGATGGAATCCACATATCATGGGACCTTTTTTTGCCAGTATCTAAGTATGAAGGTATGAAACGTAAAAATAGATGGAGTCCACGTTTGCTGCACCGCTTTCTCCTGATGAGCCAGAGTACGGCAACCTCCCCGAAGCACACGGCAAGGAAGTTTCACAACATTTGTGTGATCCACCAACCCACGCTGCCTCCACGGTTCTGGACTAGAGGCCATGTGCAGTATAGCCACCACCGGCCAACTGGTCAGGTAACGAGGGATCATATTGTTAGAATTCAAGTTCACAATCTCATTCAGTCATCTGTCCTTTTGGTCTCGTTTGTATTGTTTCTCAAATGTGCGTGTCTCGCTATTGCAGTGTCGCTTGCTCCGTTAGTCTACATCAGTGATTCTTCACCTTTACTGCAGCCTTGCACCCCTTTGGCTCTCAGTTATTTAACAAAATGTGCAATGTTAATAAATACATGGAGGGTTTTATGAAACAAAGTAGGTTGTGCATACGTGCCCGTGCTTAATTTGTGTTCGGATGATTTACCTTCTAAAAACATCGAGCCATTTCTCGCACCACCAGATAAAGGGCATCTCGCACGCTCAAGGGGTGCGTGCATCACAGGTTAAGAACCACTGCTCTAGAGGTATTGAAGTGGTTTGGTTCACAATGACAGACGAAGTGCGGCATGTTACACAAAAATGGGGCAGGACGAGATGGGAAATGCACGACTGTCAATTCCTGGATTGGAGGTGACACACGATGATGACTTCGCACATCATTAAAGTTTTAAACAGTCGTTTATCACACCCATTGTTCGATGCACGTGTCCGGAACGCGTAAAAATCTATGGTAATCGATGACTCGACGTATCCCTGCGCACGATAGATTAAAAACTCCTTAACTCGTTTATCTCCATTTCTGTCTTTGAACAGGGAACGGGAGAGTGGAACCGAGTAAATTCATCAACCCAAGCCCCTTCGCTCAGCACCTGGCAGCAAGACGAGGCCGGCTGGCGCCATGAACTGGGCCGGCCTCTACGCGGTGCTGAACGGCGCCAATCGCTACTCCACGTCCATCGGCCACGTGTGGCTCTCCGTGCTCTTCATCTTCCGCATCATGGTGCTGGTGGTGGCGGCCGAGAGAGTGTGGGGCGATCAGAAGTCCGGTTTTGTGTGCAACACGCTGCAGCCGGGCTGCCAGAACGTGTGCTACGACCACTACTTCCCCATCTCGAAAGTGCGCCTCTGGGCCCTGCAGCTCATCTTCGTGTCGACGCCGGCGCTGCTCGTGGCCATGCACATCGCTCACCGCCACCGCAGGGCCAAGCGGAAGACGCGGCGGTGCGGGCGGCCCTGCAACGTCGCCATATTGAAGCCGCCAACCGACGGCGTGCTGCTGTGCACGTACGTGGTGAGCGTGCTCTTTCGCGTCGTCTTCGAGTGCTCTTTCCTCTACGCGTTCCACTTCATCTACAGCGGCGTCACGATGCCGCGGCTCCTCAAGTGCGACGCGTCGCCCTGCCCCAACACCGTGGACTGCTTCGTTTCGCGTCCCACCGAGAAGACCATCTTCACCATCTTCATGCTGGCCGCGTCGGCCGTCTGTCTGTTGCTCAACCTGGCCGAGCTGCTCCACCTGCTGGCACGCTACTGCAGCCACGTTTGCCGGCGCGGCTCAGAGCGCCGCTCAGGCGGAGGGAGCGGCTAGCGCGGCCGGTGGAAGAGGCGGGAGGGGGGCGCGTCGACGAGCGAGGGGGGCGTCGGGGTGCCCCCCGGGCCAGCGGAAGGGCGACGGCGAGAGGGGACGCAGTCGGTCGAGGACGCCGGAGCCGGGCAGTGGCGGCGGTGGTGACCGCAGGGCCGGGCAACGGCGGTGGCGGTGGTGCCCGCCCAGCTGGGAGGAGGCCTGAGCAGACATCCTTTGTGGGTGCCTCGCCCGACTCCACACGGTGTATACGTGAGCAAGCGATGTAACGTAATTATGTCGTGCGCAGTTTTTTGCGATGGAATGAAGGCAATGGACTAATTTCACTATTAACATTATGTTCACATTGTTATTAGAATTACGTTTTATATATGTAAGAATCTGAATTCGAGGTGTTTTGTTTGGTGCACCACATTAATGGTGTCATTCCTCCAGGGCCCGTCGAGCCACTGGGCACACACACCTTTGCATGGTTTGCTTACACCGAGCGTTGCCACTGTCCATTCGCGAGCCAAGCGGCTTCCCTGAGCCCGCGGTGGAAATCTCACACGACCGTGACGGGGGACCGCTCTCTCTAGAAGATGACTGCTGTTGACTTCCCACAAAGCCGTGCCCGATTTCACCGACCACGGGAAGGATGATGGACCGAGTGGACGCCCACACTGACGGGGATTTGAACTCCGCAGATTCTCGACCCGGGCGGCTTCGTTCACAGCGCCACACGGCGTGGGACTTTATTAACTTTATTTCTAAACGATTGTTTAAAATAATACGCAACAATAACGATGGCAATAACTGCTATCTCAATAAAAAAGTCACCAAGAACAATAATTTGATCTTAAGTGGAGAGGGGTGGTGACTGCCAGGTTCTTACATTGTTTACAGCCATTGTAATTAAAGCCGAACTAACAAAGGTGTCAAGTCTCGACTGGATACAGAGTGAGTTCAGTATTGCTCGTTGGGCGCTTTTGAAAGCCAAACGATAGCAATAAAAAATAAATTCAAAGCAAGATTGGACATCACAGAGCAAGAACCTTCATCAACAAATACTCTAATATACAGAACTGTATTTTATGCATATCTTAAAAAAACATATGTAAAAACACATGTTCACAGATTTATGTTAAAGGCAGTGGGAGCTTTACTTGGTTAACGCTCAGGGTATGTTTTATAAGTTAGTCCAGAAAAACATTTACAATCACACTGCGCCGTGTAATACATGCAAAACACACGTGGGTTTATGCTCTGTCACACTTGAGAAAGAGAGATATTTTTTTACAGAATTTTGTGTCTTGTCACAAATCACCAAACCAATGCAAATTGAGATTTCGGATAGGTCTACGCACACACGGGACACAATGCGTTTGTTAAAACTCCCCTTATCACCGCAAAGCAAACCACACTGTGGGTTTTATAATAGACTCTCCTTTTGCCGATCCAAGGGACGGGTGTATTGCAATAAGTCTGAAACTTGCAAGCGAAAAGCAGATCGCGACGTGATATATTCATTGCGTCAATTTGCATTCAATCAGTAAGGCTGCAGTGACACAGACCAATTTCATTTAAAAGTTATAATCCCTTGTTCATCATGACGTCCTTTTTACTTTGTCTCAACATCGTTACGGAGATCATGTGACGTGAGGGTTCTGCCTTTGTAGTTAGGGTTATAAGGGGCCATCCATTTAGTACGTACGCATGGAGGGGGGAGGGGGGATTAACCCAAATGTGTACGCTTGCGTATGGGGGGTCTACTGACAATGTACGCATAGGAAACGGGGGGGGGGGTGGGGGGGTGAAGCCTCGATAATAATTTGTCTACATTGTCCTTCAAATGAGTTAGGGGCCGTCCATAAATGACGTCAAGCGATTTTGGACGATTTTTGACCCTCCTTCGTCACATGGCGTCACAAAAAGTCAGACCCCCCCCCCTCAAATATGACCTCACAAAGTTCTGCCCCCCCCAAAAAAAAATAAAACATGCTTCAAATCGCTTTAAACTCTTGTCATTGTAGTGCGTATTTTAATGTGGCGCTGCACTCTGATGTAGTAGGAGAAAATATTTAAAGTTGCGCATTTTGATGTGACGTCACATTTCTCAACCCCCCCCACCATCGTCACACATCGTCACAAATGTCTGACCCCCCCTCTCCCTAGGTGCGTGACGTCATTTATGGACCGCCCCTTAAGAGAAAAATAGGCGTTCATAAGAGAGTACTTGTTCAACCGTTTGCCAGTCCCATTGCTGGCTGAAGGCCCCTCCCCACACTGTCGGTCACTGGAGTAGTTTTTGCCGCATGAGTGGTGATGCTGCAATGGGCCTAATGGGTTGCGTCTCCAGCAGCTCTCTCCGTCTCTGGCCGCATGACCTCGTCGGCGTCGATAGTGAAGATTCTGGCACGGGCCACGGTTCTTCGTGCAGAAAGGTGTTATGGAGGCTCAGTGGCCCTCCCGGGTGGGCCCTTGCTACCGATAACCCGGCGGTTAAAATCCGAAATGCCGATGCAAAATGAGTTCACGATGCTTTGCTCCGGATGACAGTTGCACTTCCAAATTCAGGAAATGTTGAACTTATTTCGCACCGTACTTTAGCCAACCGTGTGTAGTGGGTTATTTTATGGAGACGGAGACGTTGGGGGTAGAGGCAACACGGCGTGTTTATTTCTAACTACAGCAACTCCCTTACGCCCCCTATCTGGGGAGGTATGGCCTCCGGGCTATCGGGGCCTAAACACCGCCCCCTGCTGGCTCCCAGCCCTCCGGCTAGCAGTGTCCTACGGGAGGCTACCTGACCCGACCCAGCCAAGGTACGGGTCCCCGACCACTGGTCCAAGCTCGACCCGGCCCTTACAAGGGCAGCGGGTTCGAGGTCCCAGGGTCCTAGTCTAGCTGCTCTTCAGTCTTCGTAACTCTGCCCCCAACCTGTGTTGAGGTCCGGCTTTTATACACCTCTCCGGTGTGTCAGCCTCTGGCCACGCTCCCTTTCCAGGAGGGGGGGGGGGGGTCCCGGGGGATCCCAGAACACCCCCGCAGCCCCCTCCCGGGCTGGGGATCGTCACGACCTGCCCGCCGGCTCGAGACACCGCCCCTGATGGGCTGCACTGTCCGCCATTGGGGGTAATTGCAGCACATCGACAGCGCTGCACATGCAAATCGGAGGTGTGTGAAGGCAGCCTCCGGTCGACAACGTGTTACAATCACACAGCAGACACATGCCATTGCCGGGCTAACGGATTATGTACGTAAACTTCATATTCTTTCACTCCTTAAGGCGTTCCACTTAACCAGTAGAGTTGCAGCACGCATCATCTTCTGCTCTCCGGCTCTCTCTCTCTCTTCTTGCTCTTGTATTATCCCGCACCAGACTTCTCTCAGACACACCGGCATATTCCACACCTCCGGTTAGTACGGATGGCTCGGTACGGTGTGACAGAAGTTCAACGTATGTAGATACATGCCTCTTCATCTTCCCTGCATCATCCGCACGAATATTTCACTCTGCCGCTTTCTCTTCCGTTTCCTTCATCTTTCTTGGTTACATGCTGAATCCCCCCCCCCCCCCTCCGTCTCTCCATCATCTTTGTCCATAAAACCATCGCTATTTATCGCATATTTCACCTCTAGCCCTTCTGTCTCACTACGACATCATCCTTTCTCTGACAGTTTCTCTGCTTCTTGCAATAGAAATGTCGTCACACCACTCATTCTACAAAATAGCTGTTTCCCGTTCAATCCATCACCTAGAAAGACGTTTACCATGCACTTTGAAGGCATTTGCGTTATAAGCAAGAGACTGTAAACTTTTGTAACGATTAGGAAGGCTCGTGGCAAGCGTATGTTGAGTGAACTGCAGTTCAATAACGTTGAAGAAATCGCAATTCATGCGTGAAGATAACGGACGCGTGTGGCTCGGACGAATTAAGCGATATCAATGTAGTTCCAGTTATCGTCATCAGAAGTGACATCGGCACCATCAGTAACAGCGGAACCATCGACAGCAGAACCATTGTATCCATAGGTTTTTTTTCTGGGTTAGATTGCGTAAATGTCGTTAAGACCCGCCACCACCCGATACAGCCAACTAGCAAGGGTTGTCACGAAAACAGAAAATGCCAATTCGTCGCTAGTTGGGTTTTGACGACACATTTCTATATTTACGCGATCTAACCCCAAAAAAACCCTCTTATGGATACTGGTCGCGAAAGCCTACGTGTTTAACAGAACCATTGTCGTTAATAGCGGCAGCACTCATAGCCAACACCGCACGCCAATGAGCCCACTGTGCACGATTATCAGTCTGTCGTTAGCTGAAGACGGTGGTTGGTGTGCTATGAAGGCTCATTGCGAGACGCAGGATTTGAATTTGTGGCACAGAACGATGGCGTGGATCACAGTGCATCTTTTGGTCATCGACACCTCATTTGACATCTCTGCCTCCGTGTACATCTCTTCTCTTTCAATCATCCATAACCTTTTCATTCATCTCATTATTTCTACACCTATATCACTCATCCACGTCGCCTTTCATTGATTCCATTGCGTGTTTTCTCTTTTCTGCATCACTTCTCACATGACTAGATCTCTCATCGGTTTGCTCAAAACATCTCTTGCTAGTGACTGCAGATCCTTGGCTGGGCATACATTTCATGACATCACATTAATAGTGGTGTGTAAAACTACACGCAAGCATACGCACGCTTCACTGCGCTGGTGGATTTTCTGGGGACCCTCATCAGCAGTTCCTCTTGGTTGAACTCTGACGTCATGCCAGGGATATGAAACCTAACACCCATCCAGATCCTTCACCTCACGTCTCCTTTCCTCTCCACGCGCCTCCCTTCACGTCGCGTTCATTCGCCCCTACATTTCTCTTCACATCCACGATGCTACCAAGGCTCCTTTCTCCTGCCAGTCTCCACCTCCCCATGCCACTACCGTAACCGACTCGCCCTTCCAGCAGATCAACATTTGGAATTTATTATTTAAAATAAACACCTCCACATGCA